ATCCCTCCTCAAAGAGCTCAGGGAATCCTACAAAAGAGGAGACAGGAAAAGTGGAGAGACAAAGGAAGTGGAGGGTATCAAGAGACTGAGGACCTCTAACTCAACTGAGCCAACCTTATACGAGGTTACAGAGACTGAAGAAGCAGACAGGGCCCACATACATCTATACCAGGTCCCCTGCATTCACACTCATTCACAAACATTCACCACGAGTTTCAGTTTAGTAATTGTATGAGACTACTGAATGTGTAAACAAGTAGGTCTCTGATTCTTGGGCTTTCTTTTCGGACTCGTTTTTTTGTTGGCTGGTGTTGTTCACATTTGATGTGACAGCTTTTCATATCTTATATTTTGTTGTTTTGCAGTCATCTTTCAGACACCAATACTTCTTTAAGGAGGCACAGAAAGAAAGTGACTCTAAATGGGGACGACATGGAGAGAGTCTGGGAGAGTTAGAGGAAAGGGAAATTGTATTCAGATTTTATTGTATGAGAAAAGAATCTATGCTTAATAGTGGGGAAATTACACAAGGAAAAATGAAGCAATAGGGATGATTCAGGGTCATCCTTAGCTACACAATGAGTTCAAGACCAGTCTATGTTATATGAAATTTCATGTATTATTATATAACTGATACATTAGTAGTATTACAGAACTAATACTTTTGAGACATTCTATGTAAATAAACTAGGAGTCAAGAATTTGGAAAATAAAAATTAGCCATAAGATAGCAAATATTGGTTGTTTATATACCAGTATTACTTACTCACTTTTTAAAACTTTGAATAAGATATACCAAGAATTTAAAAAAATATAGAAAAATTATCCATCCTGCTTTATAAATTAGTATTGCCTTAATTGAAGTGGAAATTTCTGGTTTCTTTGGAGGCTTAGTTGGGTCATGTGATGTTTTTCTGGAAACTGTCTTATGGAAGGATGTTTTTGCTGAAGCAGACACATGGGAAAATATTTTGCTAACAACAGACACATGGTGTTTTTTTTGTGGTAGCAGCCTAGAAAAAGGGCATGTGATGTTTTGCTTGAGCAGATAGTTGAGAGATCACATGATGTTTGGAAAGGATATAAATATAACCCAACAGACAATGTACACTACTGGATGGTATTGGTAAGCCTTACCAATTTTTGCTGGCCATCATTGGGTTTTGCTGATGCTGGTCTTTGCTGGTGACACGGTTTGGTGTTGGCATACCTTACCGTTCTTTGCTGCTGATTGTCTGTTATCACTTCATAGAGAGAAATGAACCAAAAACAATCTTATTCTGTTCCAGAGGCTTATTGCAGCTTCTTAGGGACTCAGACCAGTTGCCAGAGCCTTGAGGTTTCTTCTGGATGGATCTGCCATTGCTAATTTGTGAATGATATTTGAGAGTGATTGAAGTTGCCCTGGCTGATTTGTTTGAACTGAATTGCTGATATCCTGACAGCACAGATTGGATTTGCTCCAAAGAACTATTTCTAAACAATTACACATCCTCCTTTGCTCTACTAACCTTCCCTTTCTATTACCTCTGGTGGGTGGTGGGCTAGAAGGGAGGTGAAAACATTTAAGAACTCCTCTTTAAATTATATTTTGAAAAACCAAAGCCTATACTTAATATTCAAAATGACAAAACTTAATTAAAAAGAGTAGTAGAATTCTCCCATAATTGATTGAATGATAAAGAGGACAAGAAGGCAGTCACTGTGTAAGGAGGAGGCACTGGGTCCAAGAGAGGAAGAGGAAATCCAGAGGTGGGCACTTCCTTTTGGATGGTGAGGGGAGGAAAAGCAAGCAAATTGTAGACTGGGCAGTTGACTGTTAGATCTAGTGGTGGAATCCACCAGAATCCACCACCCAACAATTTCAATCAAAATACTTAATGAGTTTAGGATGATAGATTTTGTGCCTAGTGATTGTGTTTTCTGTTGATTCTAAACTACTATTGTCTGGTGTTTCCCATTTTTCATTGACTCAACTGAGCTCCAGGGGAAAATTAACTGCAGTGGAGCATGAGTTGGTGAGGCTGTGCCATCAGTTAGCCACAAGGGTTGGATAACTGGAAAAATAGTGATGCAGTGGCTAACAAACCCTGGGAAGTTGTGTGGACCACCAAATGGAGATAGACTTGGAGGTGGGGAAACCACCACTGCCAGCGAGTAGCCAGCGATAGCATGGGTTGATTTTTCAATTATTATACACAACAAAAACGACTAAATGCCAGTTTCATATATTAGCATAAATGAAAAGAAAAATATTTGAATTTGAGTAAGTAGTCATGGAAAGTGCCCTTTTATCTGCACCATCTATGTGTCTACTTATATTTACATGTATGTACATATAGACATAAATGATCCCAGAAAATTGAGGCAAGGTTGTGGGATCATGAAAAGGATAGCTTCATTTTTGGTGGAGCACTGACTAGAGATGGCTGGAGACCCTGCAAGGGACAGAATACATTTCACCACACTCCCAGACTCCAGGCTCCTGACACTCAATCTAAGGTCTCCATTGATCAGCGCCTTTCAGTCACATAGGACAACACCCCTACCAGCCCCAGCACAGGTAGATGGTCTGACTACAGGCCTCAGCCTCAAGAGATTTCCATATTAATTAGATACCTGAAGGCCAGAGGGTGTAGCCAATTAAATATTCCTTCTCAGACACTCCTCCCTCCCTATTTAACTCAGGTTTGCCCTGAGTTTCAGGGGGTGCAGCCAGATTCATCTACTTTCTGCCATGACAATAAACCCTTTAAAACCATGGACTTACTCGTGTCTTTGGGGCCTGCTGTAAAGAACCGTTGAGGGAGCCTTAGAACTACCAAGCCACCGCCTAATCTCCTACCTGAGGACTTCTCTATGTTCCCACCTCGGAGGATGCAAATTCAATCAAGCTAGCTGAGCCTTGATCCAGCCAAATGAGTACCAAGAGTCTAAACCCGTGGGGCACTGTTGAGGCTTCCTTCCCTCTGGTTCCTGGCTGCCAGCTGGTCCATCCCGTATTTTCCTGTGTCTCTGTTCTTCCGCTGCTCTCAGCATCATTTGGGGGCCCAAAAATGGAGACCACCAGCCTCCTGGTCAGCCATCGACCTGGAGACCCTCTCTCAAAAGCCCTGCCCCCTCAAGACCTCAGTCTGAGTGAGATCTCTCTGACCCCCAAAGGAGCCTCGCAGTGTCCACCCGGCACCGGAAACTCAGTAAAATTCCCACACTTCTGCTTCCCATAGCCACGACTTCCTGAGCCTCCCGTGGGAACCACAACCACCCAACAAGACCCACGCCCTCCCCCACGCGTGAGCTAACTGCCCCACACAAGATAGATGATCATTTTAAAAATCTACCAATCTGTCATATCAACATATTAAAGGAGTATTTCATAAGTCCATTCCAAAGATGGAGGAAAAATATTAAACACCATACATGTATATTATTAAAAATCACTCAGTAAACTAAGAATGTATATTCTAACTCTGATATTTAATGGTACAACTTCAAAGTATTTTTTAATCAAATACAAAATAGCAATGTTTGTGATTTCTAATACTCAACATAGTATAAAAATTCTAATCAATTTTCAACACTGTCAGGATTTAAAATGTATGGGTTTTTTTTACATATTTTATGATACATTGACAGAAATGCAATTACACAAAGCATCCAAAAGCAACAAAAATTGTCAAAAGTGAAACAATTTTACAATATTCCTGAATGTAAGATCTCAATGCAGAAAACTAACACCGTGCTTATAAACCAGTAATGTCTCAGTAAAGATATAAAGATCTCATTTTCAATAGAAAAATAGTTCTAATATACCTAAGAATGTATCTAACAAAAATATGAGTAAGATATTTATGAAAAATAAGTTTCAAAAAATTAAATCTAGGAAACAATGATTCTAGAAGAAAGGAGTAAATCAACAATCTGCCATCAAAATGGGAAATGTATTCTTAAACCAGATCCCAAAAAAACATCAAGCTGGCAAAAAAGAGCATTTACAGGATAAAAGTTTAAACTTGTATGTACTACACATGAAAAAATCCATTTTTTGAAAAAACAACCATGAAATGAGATAAAATTAACTAAAAATAAACTATTAAAATAATTTAAAAAGAAAAAGGAGTTTAAAAGTTAGAACTAGAGAGATGGTCCAGTGGGTGAAGACGCTGCTGGCAAGCTTGATGATTCAAAGCACACACGCTCACACACACATATGCACATGCTCACACATATGCACACACACACATATGCACATGCACACACACACACACACCGACTTGGAGAGCATGATGGGAGATAAATGCAATTTTTAAAAGAATATGATTAAGCAATAGGCAATTCACAAAGGAAATCCAAGTAAACACAGGAATGTGTTCTCACTTTTATTTAAATTCTTTTAAAAAAATAAAACTTCACACTGTATTCTAATTGTATTAGAGTTATATTAATTATATTTTATATTATATTTATATTATATATTGCTAATATATCTAATTATATTAGCAAACACGGAAAGAAGAGAAAGTTTTGTGCACTGGTGATGAAAGCTCAAAGCAGCACGGCTACTTTGGGGAAACAGTTGGTAAAATCTTTTATACCTGATAGTAATTATGACCAAGGAACATACACTCTAAATACTATTCCACACTTAAAAGTGCTCACTGTCTGTCACTAAAAATGAATTGGATGTCCCTGATTCAATGAATAGATGTGCTGTGGTGTTGAAGAAAGGATAAACATGAATTGGTATAACCAAGTCTAAAAGCATAATGCTGGGTGAAGCAGAAAGCTCCATAGCATGTACTGTAGGATACAATACAGTAGATACAATATAGATACAATCTATACAGAGCAAAAAGTATGTCAGAACTTCTGCAATGATACAGATGCCCAGCACCTCACCTGACATGTCTACCAGCTGCACACAGATGTAGAGCCCTTACTTCATGGCACAGCTCCCAGGAATAAAATATACTTCATTTTAATTGAGTGTAAGTGGCCACATGTGGTTAGCAGAGTACATTCTGATAGAGCAGGTACCGCAGGCTACAGGTCTGGAAGATGAGCACAGGAGGTGATTCTCAGTGATGTGCAGTTCTGGAAAAACGAATGAAGCAGCCAGGAACAGAGTGTGGAGGGGCTTGTATTTCCTGACAACAACAAAAATGCACATAAATCTAAAGATTCAAATGCTAATGTTGCTAATATTTGTTAATCTTTCCTTTTTAATGTTTGCAATATATTCCTCTTTAATTTTTCTAATATTAATTAGAAATTAAATATTTAAATTAAATCTTTCACTTTAATTATTTCTCCCATTTCAATGTTTAAGTAACTTTTTAAAAATGCAAAGTCCTTGAATCTTTAAGTAAAGTACTTTAAACTCAGTAGATCTTGGCTCACTTCCCTGTAATGACCAGAGGTTTACCCATCCTATGAATGGTCTTAATAAATACCTAATACCACCAGGAAAGCAGACAGCAAACCTAACTGTGCAACAGAAGCTTCCAGAATTCTTAATTTATGGGAGTTTCACAACTACCCTTCAAAACTCCAAGAAAGATATTTCCAAAATGTGTCATTGTTAAGATTCAAACAAAACAGACAATGTAACTTGCAGATAATCTGGAGCTATTAAAAGACTCTTAGGACACTGAGTCTAGCACTGGACTGTGAAGTACAGTGTAAACTGTCTGATGCCAGACTATCTTTTAATTGTTCCCATTTATTTATTTTTTTAGTAGGGGAGTGGCTACACACATGCTCAGCTATATGTGGAGGTCAGAGGACAACTTAGAGGAGTTAGTTATCTCCTTCTACTATGTGTGTCCCAAAAATGTAAGTCGGCCAGTCAGCACAGGCAACAAATACCTTTTAACCATTGAGCCATCTTGCCTACACTGATACCAGTTTATGTTAATGCTTTATTTGGTTGTTCTGTTTTGTTTTGTTTTGTTTTGTTTTGTTTTGCTCTGTTTTGTTTTGTTTTGTTTTGTTTTGTTTACACAGAATTTCCTTGTGTAGACAAGATGAACTGTAGGATCTCTAAGTTCATTGCCAATTTGTTTTAAGTTGGGAACTTGTATTGAGTTTTGTTTCATCTTTCAATTGTAGGTTCAAAAAGTAATCATTCTTTTGTGTCAAAGTGTTAAAACTAAGCACACTGGAAAATCAAATTTCCTTTCCTATCACATAATGCTTCCCTGTAGATGTCTAGAAAAGAGATAAAAAGAGAGAGAAGATAGTTAATGCAATTATTCGATGACCCAGACCTGTTTTTCAAAGGAAGAAAGTTTCTGGCACAGAGTTGTGGTTTTAAATTGCCCTTACAATCAGTATTCCAAACCATCAAAATGTTTTCTAATAGATATCCCAAGAAACCCAACAGGAAATTGATGCTCCAGACAAGTTGTATGTTTACTTACATAAACGCTCTGATTTACAAAATCTAAAACTTACACCTCCTATAAATATTTACTATTTACTTTATAAAACTATAGATGATCTAGGCAAGAATCAGTGGCAAATACACTACTCACATCTTCTATTCACTGTTCTCTTCCTCTCTCTTCCCTCCCCCTCTTCTACCCTCCTCTCCCCTCCCCTCCCTTTCCCCCATCTGTTTATTTACTATTCTCCTCCAGGTAATCACAGTACCAAAGACTGTGAAAGAAATTTATCTACTTATTCACACAATTTTTAGATGCATGGATTTACATGACAAATGTCCACATAATAGGAGGGAAACACAGTTGTTTATGATCTGTTCCAACTGACTTTGAGGTAAATTATTTTCAATAATAGTACAAATGGCAGGAAATGACAGTAGTTATCTCTTACTTTCTTGGCAAAAAATTATTGAAGCATTCCAGACTTCTCTGTGCTTTCATAAAATATACGCAAACTTCAAATTAATGTGATGACTAATATTATGTGTCAACTTGACTGGGCCCCAGGAAGTACAAACTAATCCTTGATTCTGTTTATATCTGGGGGTGCATCTCTAGAGAAGATGAGTAGCATTGGGAGACTCAGCAAAGCCCAATGTAGCCCATTTAGAGCTCAAATAAAACAAAAGGTGAAGAATTGGAAACTTATAGTAGTTGCTATTTTCCTGTCTGTCTGAACCAAGGCATGGCAAATAAAACTCAGGTACACCAAAAATATTGCATAAGTAGCTATTTTTATAAAGTAGATATGAAATGGATAGATTTCTTGTCTAGGCTTAGATCCCATTCCTAGGATTTCTCATTAAATTCAAATATTTGAAATTTGAAAAAATTCAGAATATTAAAACATATCTGGTCCTTGGTACTCTAAATAATCAATATGAAAACTATATTTTAGCTGGTATTTCTAGTGATATCCAATACTGAATATGCCATACCAATATCAAACATGCAATAAAGAGTTACTCTAAGAAATCTATGTTTCTATGTTGAAAAAAAATAAATGAAACAATTAAAACATATAACTCAATGTATACATTTTGCTTCTCCCAATGGAAAGACATAATACCTTTATCTCCTTGTGTGACATGAATATCCCTTTAATCTGATGTTAATTTTAAGGTTATAAACTAAAATTAAAATTTGAAAGATGATCCGAACAGATACATAGTATGAAAAAAATTTAAAAAGTGTATTTACTAAGCTGACAACTACATTTTTAGATTTAATGTGCTCAAATATTTGAGCAAAGAAAATTAACTGATGCTGGCACAAATTGCTATACCAAAAGAACGGGTGGGTGAGGTTCTCTCCAAGACTCTTACATGCCTGTTGCCATATTTTCCTACAGTAAAACAAAACTTGTAATCACATGTATACTTACTGCACACAAACATGTATGCACACACAGGCACACAGTGTTTTCACAGAAGTGAGCAAAAGGATTTTTAAAACTACAATAACAGCATTCCAGGGTCATCCAGCTTCCAAAATTTCCATTAAGAAGTTAGTGGTATTCTGGAAGATTTTCCTTTAAAAGAAACATGGTTGGAGTTCTAAACTGAAATAATCCCTCACACTCTCCTTGCTAAATTTTTTTAAATGGATTTTTTTTATAAATATGCTCTGACTATTGGTTCCCCTCCCCTGATTCCTTCCCAATCCTCCCTACTTCCCCACTAACCCAAATCTATACCCTTCTTTTCTCTTCATTAGAAGATAAACAGGCAGCTGAAAAATGATAAAAAAAATAAAAGAAAAAGAAAAGAAAAAGAAAAACAGTACAAAAAGCTAACACAAAACACCCAGAAAATTCAGGACACAATGAAAAGACCAAACCTAAAAATAATGGTAATAAAAGAGTGTGAAGATTTCCAATTTAAAGGGCCAGAAAACATCTTCAGCAAAAGCATAAAAGAAAATTTCCCTAACATAAAGAAAGGAATGATCATAAATATACAAAAAGCTTACAGAACACCAAATAGATTGGACCAGAAGAGAAAACCCTCTCATCACATAATAATCAAAATAATAGATGCACAGGACAAAGAAAGAATATTAAAAAGTGGTAAGGGAAAAGGGCCAAGTAACATATGAATGCAGACCTATCAGAATTACATGGGACTTCCCAAAAGACATTCTAAAAGCCAGAAGATCTAGGACAGATGTATAAAGATCCTAGAAGAATGCAAAGGCCAGCCCAGGCTACTATACCCAGCAAAACTCTCAATCACCACAGATGGAAAAACCAAGATATTCCAAGACAAAACAAAATATAAACAATATCTGTCCACCAAAACAACCCTAGAGAGAATAATAGAAGAAAAACTCCAATACAAGGAGGGAAACTAAACCTAAGAAAAACCAAAAATGTAATAATCTAACAACAAACCCCAAAGAAGACAACCATACAAACATAATACCACCTCTAAGATCAAAAATAATAAGAACCAGAAATCATTGGTCTTTAATATCTCCCAACACCAATGAACTGAATACCCAATAAAAAGACATAGGCTAACAGACAGAATATGTAAACAGGACCCAGCATTTCGCTGCATACAGGAAACACACCTCAGTGACAAAGACAGACACTACATCAGAGTAAAAGGAAAAAATTATTCAAGCAAACATTCCCAAGGAACAAGCTAGTAGCCATTTTAACTTCCAGTAAAATAGACTTTCAACCAAAAGTTATCAGAAGAGATGGGGAAAGACAATTTATACTCATCAAAGGAAAAAAAAAACCCACCAAGATGACCTCTCAATTCTGAATGTCTACACCACAAATGTGAATGACATTTGTTAAAAAAAAAAAAAATTCCTAATACTCAAAACACACATTGAACCTCATACAATAATAATGGGAAACTTCAACACCCCATTCTCACCAATGGACAGATCACGGAAAGAGAAAGAAAGTAAACAGATACACAGTGAAACTAACAGAAATTATGAACCAAATGCATTCTACAGAAATTTACAAAACATTTCACTATACCTAGTTATGAGTATCTCATGGTACCTTCTCCAAAACTGACTATATAAGCAGACATAACACAAGCCTCAACACATAAAAGAAAATTGAAATAATCCCATGGATTCTATCATATCTCCACAGAATAAGGATGGTCTTCAATAACAACAAAAACAACAGAAAGCCCACATACTCATGAAAACTGAACAACTCTCTACTCAGTAATAACTTGGTCAGGGAAGAAAGAAAAAAGAAATAAAAATTTTTCTAAATGTAACAAAAATGAAGGCACAGCATATACTTACAGGACACAATGAAAGCAGTGCTAAGAGAAAAATTTATAGCACTGAGTGCCTTCATAAAGAAATTGGAAGTTTAGACCCTGGGAGTTCTGGTTGTTTGTCACTCTCCCCATGCGGCTGCCAGCCCCTTCAGCTGCTTTGGTCTTCTTTCTAACTTCTCTACTGGGGATCCTGTGATCAGTTCAGTGGTTAGTTGTGTTTATGTCAGGCACTGGGAAAGCCTCTCAGGAGACAAGTATGTCAGGCTCCTGTTAGCATGCACTTCCTGGCATCCACAACAATGTCTGCATTTGGTGACTGCACATGGGATGGATCCCCAGGTGAGGCCATTTCCAGACCATCCCTCCTCCAGTCTCTGCTTTACAGTTTTTCTTGATACTTGCTCCCATGAGTATTTTGTTACTCCTTCTAAGAAGGACCAA